AGCAGTGAAGATTCAAAATGTGGAGGAACAGGCTTTTTCATACGGAGGAAGTCATTAGAGATCCTAATAAGGATAACATTCAAATTCAGAACAGTGAAACCTTTTATGAGAACAAGGCTGATAAAGGTATGAATGTGCAATCCTCTAACATTATCTCTGTTAACAAATTCAGTATATTGAATGAACTGGTTGAGGAAGGGGAAATCTTACCTACATAAGAGGTTGAGAATTATTCTTGTAAAGACTTGCGAGGATCAATAAAAAACTTAGATGAAGAACTTATCAGCAATAGTGACATTTTGAGTAAAACAAATGTCACCAAGGAAGGAGGATCCTCTACCATTAAGAAGAAAGGCAATAAACAGCTAAAAGGACTTGGTCCTATTAACTTAGCTCCTAGAAGTAGGAGGGCCGAAATAGATATCAAAGATAGGATGGGGACTTCATCCCCTCTTATTCAATGAATTCATCCATAGCTTTTTGGAATTATAGAGGAGCTAGGAAAAGGAGAGCTTCTCTATACTTGAAGGAATATTGTTAGAAAACCAAAATGACTTCATTTGAAAGGAAAGAAGTGGATCTACTTATTGGCTCTACATGGAATTTCTTTTATGTTCCTTCTGAAGGCTTATTAAGGGGCATTCTTGTGTTATGGAGATCAAATATGGCTACATTTCAAGTTTTAGAATCTTCTTCCTTAACGGCGATTTGGAGGTTATCAACAAAGGCACATGGAGGATAGCTTCAATTTCCAGTAGCAAGGATGTATATAGAAGGAGATGGCTTTGGGAAAGGCTGGAATTCTTAGCCTCTAAGGAACTTCCTATGGTAATAGGAGGTGATTTCAATTGCATCCGTTCATGTGATGATAAGAAGGGAGGGAAAATATTCAAACTTTCCCTTGGATCCAAGGAAATGAAGACCTTTCTTGCAAACAATGACTTCCATGAAGTTGGATTTGTGGGTCTAAAATTCACTTGGTGCAACAACAAGCATTGAGTGGACCGAATCCTAGAGATATTGGATAAATGTTTTATAAATCTGGCTGTTATAACTGCTTCAAATCACTTATTAGTAAGGCACTTGGCTCGTGTGGCATCAGATCATTTTCTAATCATCTTGAACCCTATGGTACATCAAGATAGTAAGAAGTTAGTAAGGTTTGAGGAGGTTTGGGCCTACAACAAGGCTTCTGTGGCTATGGTGAACAAAGTTTGGAGAAGAAATTATAGAGGAAATGCTGCTAACATTATGAATTGTAAAATAAAAAAGTGATATCATTATAGAGGAAATGCTGCTAACAATATCTCCCCAGGTAATGATGGTATCACTTTTTTATTTTTTAAAGCCTATTGGGAGATTATCAAATCAGACTTATGGAATGCCTTAAAGGATTTCTTTGTAAATTTTGAAATGGACCCCAAATGGAAGGAGACTATAGTTGTGCTAATTCCAAAAGTCAGCAATCCGTTAACTCCCTCTAACTACAGACCAATTAGTTTATGCAATTCGGTCTACAAATTGGTGGCTTAAATTCTCATGAATAGAATGGCTCCTATCATCTCTAAATTGATCTCAGAGGAACAAGTTGCTTTCATCAAAGGAATATCTCTATCAAACCATTTGTTGATAGCACAAGAAGTTATGCACAAGTTAAGGATATCCAAATCTTCAAAAGGTTTTGTATCCTTCAAAATTGACATGGAGCAAGCCTACGATTCTATGGGTTGGTTACCCTTGGGAAAGGCTTTGGATTATTTCGGTTTTCCTGAATATTTTTCTAAACTGATTTTAGAATGTATTCAAAATTCCAAATTCTCTATTTCAATCAATGGTAGTTTGAGAAATTGGATAGAGGGACAATGTGGCTTTAGACAAGGTTGTCCCTTATCTCCATATCTTTTTATCCTTTGTGCACAATTTCTTTCTAATGCTTTCAAACAAAAAGGTGATTCTTTGGGAGTTCGGCTTTGTACAAATGGGCCTTCTATTTCCCACTTGTTGTATGCAGATGATGTGATCATCTTCTCGGAAGCAGCCTTGAAGCCAACCAAAGAGATTAAATCAATTTTGGGTAAATTTTGCTGTTGGACGGGTTTTTCCATTAACACCAATAAATCTTCAATGATTTTCAGTAAACATGTTAGAAGAAGGAGAATGAAAGCAATTGGCCGGGTGATGGGCTTCAAAACAGTTAATCAATTATCCTATCTTGGAGTGAAACTTGCAATGAGAAACTTAGTTAAACAAGATTTCCTTTTTATTGTTGATAAAGCCTTGAAAATGACTAATATTTAGGGAAGCAAGATGATATCTTTGGCAGGAAAGATTCTATTAACTAAAACCATTTTGCTTTCCTTCATCACATTTCATTGTACTAGATCCCTTGTGCCAAAGAGTATACTTGATGAGATAGATAAGATTTATAGAAGCTACATTTGGAACAAATCTAATGGCAGAAATGGCTTAAATTATGTCAATTCGCTAACTATGTGTCTACCAACCAAATGGGGAGGTAGAGCTCTTCACTCTTGCTCTACTAAAGTCGGTCCTTTGAGATCAAAAATTGCTTGGAAATATATGATTGATAAAGACTCCTTACTACACAAAGTCTTCTACCTAAAATATGGAAATCTGGTGGAAAAGGTAGACAAGAAATTTGCAGGATTTCCTGCTTGGAAAATCATGATGGTGGGAGGCAAATCACTAAGGCCATTTATTAGATGGAGGGTGGCCAATGGAAATAACATTAATGTTTTCAATGATACTTGGATCTTAGACAAAAGCATTAACAAGTGGCCAACCTTTATTACTCCTCAAGAAGACAGTAGATTTATTATTTCCAATATCTTAAATAACGGAAGTTGGAATGTGGAGCAAATGAAAAGAATAATTGGGGAAGATCTTGTAAATCTTATCATACAAACCAATATTCCAAGTGGCCTGGTTGAGGATAAAATGGAACTATTATTCCAGAACAATGGAAAATCCTTATCATCTATGGTTTTTGAGAATTCGGTGAACCATTCTCAGATGGAGCTGTTCTGGACCTGGATTAAAAAAGCTAAGCTTAATTCGAAGGTGGAGACACTATGGTGGAGGATTTTCAATAATGGCTTGCCTTCAAATGACTTCCTTGTACATAGAAGAATGCAAAGGGACAATCTTTGCCCGTGAAGCTGTAATGCAGTTGAAAACAGAGATCATGTAACAGCAAAATGCGAGAAGCTGAAGGATATTCTTAATCAAATCAATGAATGGGGCTTCACTTTTCAGGAATTTGATTCTTTATTAGATTGTTGTAAGTACTTATCACTTCTAAATCCCTTTTTGATTAATCTATATTATACTGTGGTGTACTTAACATGGAAGTCTAGAAATAATCTTATACACAATGGGAAGGAAGATAGCTCATTGTTTATTGCTTCCAATGCAATAAGCTATGCTTCAATTTCTGCTCAAGGGATTAGTAGATTCTCGGGTATATGGGATGTCAACCAACCTTCCAAGTTGTCTTACAATCATTGGCACACACCCCCCCACCCGCACTCCCCACCCGATTGGCTTAAAGCAAATGTGGATGCTACATTACTTTCTTCATATAAAGCTAGCATTGGAGGAGTGTTCCGTGATCACAAAGGAAGATTCCTTCTAGTATTTGGGAAACCGTACACCCATTGCGATATATCTTCCTTGGAATTATTGGCAACTCAATCCATTAAGGAAGTGTTGAAAGATTGAATGTTTAAATACAAAGGAATAATTATTGAAGGTGAGAATCTTAATGTCATGGAATTTTTGAAGAAGGCTAAACAAAATGGAGACACAAGGTATGATGATATTCATCTATTTAATGAGTTTAATAACGTCATTTTCAATTGTGTTGATAGACGTTATAACAAGTTAGCTGACTTATGTGCTAACTATGGTATTATGAGCACTTTTATTTGAGAGGATGTCAGTATTTTTCAGACTCCTCTATTTATGTCTGTGCTAAAGGAGGAATCTAATGCTTTGGATCACTAGAGTTGTAATAATTTCTTAGCTCTTTTCTTTAATGCCATTTGACGCATTTTCTTCAAAAAAAAAATTACCCTCACATTTCCTAAGGTTTCCTTTTCCTTATATTGAAAGTTTTTTGCTCGAATTATAGGTTATTCAAAATGAATATTCTAACTTCAAACTCAAACCTATCTTTAATATCAAAATTGAGTTTGATGAATAACAATACATGCAATAAACTTTTGAAAATACACTACACATGTGAGTCCATTTCTTGATCTCCTTTTTAAGCTGAACACAACATAATACTTTAAACACTTATCCATAACCTATCAATAAACATGAAGACTAAACCTTCACTCTTAGCCAATGGACTAGGGCTTAAGCCATATGTTCCCAAGTAATGATCTTCAAATGCTAAATTGCCAAGGGCCCAAAAGAACTTAAACTAGACATAACGATTTTAAGTGAATAGACAATGAACTTGTCCTAAGACCCTAAACCAAACCTTGGAGTAATAAAACATCAATCCAAGCCCACCATGTTGCCTGCTGAAGGTGATCTAATGATCATGTTCTAGTGCCCATCACCAAGCTAATCCAACATCCTTTAGCCAACAGCCTAAGTTCATTAGCATATAGTGGCTCAAAAACAAGTCAACTTTGACATAAAACATAGGCCAAGTCAACACACCTATCAAATCCTCTATTTAAGACTACCTTGACTTCTCGAGCCTTGGACCTATTAGCTTAGGAAAACCCTAGGGAAACCCATTACCCACATCTAATTGATTGGACCACAACCAATAGTTAACTAAGGTCAATAGTGACTATGTTTCTCAATTATCAATGGATATGTTGGATATCCAAGTTTGATTCGAAGCTATTGATGGCTGCAAGCAAACTTGATATAGAATCCAATATATATAAAGAGTAAGAGAGAGTCATTACACAACGTTACAAATGCCAAGCACAGCAAAAGGTTGCAAAGCTACAATATCGTTAAGAATAAAAAACCTTGGATAAATGATAGTTGTTTTCAAATTAGTTCCCATTTGAAAGAATTCAATTCCATACAATACAAATGGCTGCTCAATTAAGTTAGAATGAATGGCCAAATGTGAGCCCAAGCAGAAAAATAATACTGCAATTGAATCAGATGCAGATGAACAAAAGTTAAAGTGTCATTCTAACCTATACCCTACTTGTCCCTCGCAATTAGAGGGGGTCTAACAAGGAGCCTCCCACACCTTTCAGCAACAACTGAACCAAAAAAAACAGTTAATTCTCATGCTCTATCCTTCATTGCCGACTAATGACCTGTCTTTCTCCTATGCCGGCTAAAATCTGAGACAAAGCGAAATGTTAGGTCACATCCAGGTTCCCTGCATGAGTAAGGCCGTTCACCAGTGTGCACTCTTATGTGCTCTGTGCGAGCCCATGCCCATTTGAACGTCATCTTGCAGCCTTTCCAAGGGCACTTGAGGGGCCGATCATCACAATGCACCTTCCGATGCTGCAACAGGTACTTGTGTGAGAAGAACTTTTTCCCACAACCTTTCTCTGGGCAGACATTCCGTTTGTGCAAACAAAGGTCATGCTTTGTCCTGAAACTCATGCAGCAGCCCTCAATATCACATGAGAAATTTTCTTTGTCAGGAACAGAATCAAGGGCCTTCTTAATCTTCTTTCTGTTGTTAGGCTTCTCAGGTGCTACTATAACATTTGCCTCACCAGAATTCAACCGCCTCTTGCGGAGCTGCATACTGCGTTGATCTTGATTGGTTCCTTTTACAGATGGACTAACACAGCTAAACCTCCCACCACATTTCATAGAGAAATTATCCTCTGCACAACCAGTTTTTGCAGAGCTGCCTGACCTAGTTTGCGCAGCTTTCCTATTGCAACCATCCTTTAATTTTTTCCTCTTCTTGCCAGATTTCTTCCTAGCAGCAGCATTATTGTTTGGTAAATTCTTTCTAGGCACACTCGCTTGTTTTTTTCCCTCTGAATCAGTGTCAGCTTCAGAACTCTGATCTCTGTGTCGGTCATCATCAGCATATCTAGCATTTCCAGTGTTCTCCTCTGCACATCCAGCATTACTGGAATCTTCGAGCTGGGTATGTGTAGCTTTCCTAGTCCTTGACCGGACAACCGAACACTTCCTCTTCTCATCAGATTTCCTTTTAGGAGCACCGTTGCTGTTTGTCAGGTGCCGTTTTCGTATAGTTGCCTGTATATCATCATCTATGTCTGAATTAGATTGAGACCTATCTGCATCTGGAGCACAAGCCGAATTTCCAGCATGTGCAGAATTCTCCTTCGCATATCTTGAATCGCTGAAATTGTCAGACTTGATATGTGCATGTTTCAGAGCATTTGATATGACAGCTGATTTTTTCCTCTTATAAAATTTTCTTCTAGCGTAAGCATTGTTCTTTGTTGAGTTCCATCTTGACCCATTTGCTTGTTTATCATCCTCCATATCCGTATCAGCTTCAGACCTATCCCTATCTTGCTCACCATCTGCATTTCCAGAATTCTCCTCTGCACATCTAGCATCACTGGATTTGTCAAGCCAGGTATGCGTACACTTCCTAGTGCTTGATCGGACAGTATATTTCTTATGATCAGATTTCCTTCTAGCCACAGCATTGTTATTTGTGGAGTTCCTTCTTCCTAAAATTGCTTGTTCATCATCCTCCTCTATATCTGTTTCAGCTTCGGACCTATCCGTATTTGGGTCACAATCTGCATTTCCAGCATATCCAGAATTCTCTTCTGCATATCTAGCATTACAATCTTTGTCAAGCCTGGCAGGTGCAGGTGCATGTTTTCTAGCGCTTGAAAGGTACTCTGATTTTGTCCTCTTCTTACCAGAATTTCGCCTATCGGCAGTGTAGCTATTTAATGAATTCCTTCTAGATAGAACTAATTGGTTCACATTCTCTCTGTAGCTATTAGCCTCCAAACTCACATCTATGTTATCATCATCATCTGGGAAGTTTTGATCAGCTAAAAAAGGATGCACTTGGTTTGACATCCACACCTTTCCACACCACTTTCCAGCAAAGATTATTTTCTTCTGCCTTCGAGAAATCGTTCCAGAGCTGATTTGCTCTACTGGTGATTTTTGAAAAAAGGACTTGTATATCACCTCATTATATGGCAGTTGTTTTCTGAACAATGGAGATTGGCTGAGGCTGACGCTGTAATAGAGATTAATGCCTAATTTCACTGCCCAATCTCCATTACAAGGAATAACATCCTCATCTTCTATGGCTAACCTAATTTTCTCTTGGTCTTGCTCGGAGGCATCCCTGTACTTTACAGATTTCCACTGATGATCGAGTCCTAGCTCCTCCGCCACGAGTTTTGCTTCTGATTCAATTTTTGGATACTCTGCAATTTGCAAATTACAATTTTGTCAACACATTACACAAAAAATGGGCAGAACAAGTTCAAAAGTTGCATAAACAAAAATAATATAAATGGAACCGTATTTCAAATAAACCAGGTACAAATCAAACCCACTTGCAGGTAGTCAAACAAAATTTAAAACAATGCTTTGCCAATTTTTTCTTTTTTAATTATCATTAGGAAAAAAGGAAGACTTCAGCAGACTGTCGCCAAGGCATCCTCAACGAACAAGTATTCTTCTACAAAAGTTTACAATCAATACCACAATGGATAAAAGTTAGTGGTGGCAAAAGTTTCAGCACAAACCAGATCAAGAGTTAACAAGAAACATATTATTATACTAGATGTTTCATTATCTAAACCCAGGTCTTGACGTTGGTTGAGGGTTGAGCTAAGGTAGAGACTTAATCTTATAACGAAGAAAAAAAAAAGAAAACTTAAAAACAAGTGAACCATTAAAACAGATAGACCAATTTTAACTATAAGAATAACATAGCCACTAATGCTTACATAACATATCATATATATGGTCAGATTTGTTCAAGACCATAAGCCAAGATTTCTCTTCTCTTTTTTATTTCCTTTAATCCAATGGGTGAAGCACAAAAATAAACTCCAATGGATTGGGATATGAAGACATCATGAAATTATGGAGATGATCAAGACAGGTTGATTTTATTTGATAAATAGTTTATATTAAAAAGACAAGAAGGACATCACGGTTATGGTCCTTTTGGACAGCATATTGTCACAAACATTAAAAGAATTCATTTGTAGAGATAATTTTAAAGGAATGAATTATTCTCCTTATCATATTACATGCTTTGAATTAACAACCGTAATGAATGTTAATTTAATACATGTACTAAATGAAATGAAATAAAAAAGAAGATGAATTAACAACTATAATGAATGTCAATTTAATACATAGACTAAATAAAAGAAAATCAAAATGAAAGTGAATTAATACACGTAATGAAAGACAATTTAATACATAAGACCAAAAGAAAGGAAATCGAAAATAAGGAATTAATGTATTTATTTAATTTCTCTAATACTTATATGCCCATGAATGACAACATAAAAAATATCAAAATGAAATAGATTAATACTCTAAAATGGCGATTGAAAGGGAGAATAAATTTTCGTTCAGTACTTTTGATAAAAAAATGTAGAGAATAAAATTAGGGTCCTCATTTATATAAGTTGCTGCATTGAAATACCAATAAGCTCCTCTGAATAATTCGTAGGACGCATTAAGTATTGCTACGTCGATACCAAGTCCAAGCTGTGGGCTTCGAAAATTCGAGTACCAGCCTCTCCTCGCCTCTTTATTAATGGGGAGAGTTTTAATGGATTTAAGTTACGGGATAAACTTTCAAAAGGAAGATTAGGTATTGACAAGATACTTTCTATAGATTTGACCCTCATTTTGTTAGGACTTTATGATCTGATTTCTGGTATTTCATAGGTGCAAGCCCCTATAATTAATTACTTCTCTAGATAAAGAGAGCGAACTTTTGATTACGGCTAGTCATTTAAATAAGTCATAAGAATTACCTAGCGCAAAATAATAGTGATTTTAGGGCTTGAATTTGGTTTTGAATTTTTCTGTTTATGAATTAAAATTTATCACCATATACTTAAAACGGGTGATGGAGGAATGATGACAGGCCCATTCAAGATCCCATGATTCTATAGCCTTGAGCTATCATGATCCTATTAGTACGATAATGGACCAGTCCAGCCGATCCATACAGGACTGGCTCACGGAGATAGAGGCGGAACTCTTCCGCCTCTTCTGAACGCTGATTGCACCGCAGGAGCCGACGGAGCATTTTAGAAAGATTTACTGAGGGAGTTAGGAGGGAAATTTGAATGTAGAGACTATTTAGAGATTTCCTTTTGATTTGTATGCATTAAATAGTTTGTTTACCTAGGGTTAGGTTACCTTGAATTTGTTTGAAATTTGAGACTCTTAGGTTTTTGGGCTCTAGCGGCATCTAGAGATTTGGGAGAGAGATCCTCCTCTCGAATATAGTATCAAATGTATCTTGTTATTTTTCTTCCATTAGTTTGATTATTGCAATAAAATCTATAATTTTTTTAAGGTTTTTTTGTTGGTTTTGTGGATCGTTTTCGCTGTTTTTGCTCTACTGCTACGGTTGATTTGAAATCTTCAAGTACTTCCTAACAGATCCCTAATCTACTTAATTTGAGGAGGCATTCAAACCAAACTGATAGAAGGACCCTTGTCAGCATCCACATGTTGAGTCGTTTAAGGGTATCTTATAAACCTGGGGTAGATGTTTGTCAAAGCGGTTAAATTTAAGTCAATATTAGATGATCAAGAGCTTTAGATCTTATTGAGTGTACCCTATAATTTATTACTCAAATAGGGTTTTAACCATTAGGGACCATATGAACTTTGGCTATGACCATAATACAACAGTGTCATTTTGTGACAAAATCACTTAGTCAGAAGTCACGTGCCACATCTTTGCTGGAAAGAAATTAACTGAGAATAAATTGTAATAATACATTTAACAAGACATCTTCACCTTGTGAGCTAAAGTTATTCTTCAATTCATCATCCTCGCCAAACTATTGCGAAGTATGGAAGGATATTGATTTTAAATTTTTTTGTGATAGATTTAGTTTTATAAATTTAAACTTTTTGTAGGATTTGAATCTAATGTTTTGAATTAAATAGCTCTATTCAGAAAAAAATTTCCTGTCAGCACATTTATCATCAGGGTGTTAAAGCATTTTTACGAAAACCGCGAAGCATTCTCAAATTTTGTCTTTAATGATTTGATGTAAACATTAGAGTACATGAAAAATTTTGCACAGTATTTGCATAAAGAATTTAACACATTACTTAATAATCATGCATATCAGCATAAAGCATTTTGTACAATCAATACATGTATATAATGCATATTACACTTGCATAATCTATTTTCATTTGCATGTGCATACTACATTTGCATTCTGATAATGCACTTTTATAATGCATTCGTTCTTGCATAATGCATTTGGGATATTGTTCTCACATAATGCGTTTAAGCATCATTCTTGTGTAATGTATTTCATGTACTGTTTAGTACACATGTATTTCATGTACTGTTTCATAATGAATTCTTCTTGGGAATAATTTTAAATTTTGAGTTAGCTGCTAAAACATGTAGAATTAGTCAAAGATAAAAATAAGAACATTGCCTAATTGAGTCGTCAATAATCTATGAGCTCTAGAAATAGCACCTGGCCCTTCTAAGAGAATTTTATTTCAACTCAAACTTTTAAAACACAAATTAAGATGTAGATACAAAACTGCCCAGTGATTTAATACACTTTGCAGGGACTTTAATATGGTTTCAGGTTACCCATAAGCACAAGCCCCTATAATAATTACCCCAATGACGAGAGAACTTTTGATTTAAACAAGTTGATGGTGCTAAGTTCTTAGCATGTACTAATAGCATTTTTAAAGTTTAGTATAGATAATTTATCACTATTGTCTTAAAGTGAATGGTGTGGGGATGACAGTAAACCCAATAAAATCTCATGTAACTATAGCTCCAAGTCAACATTGACCAAGATATGCTAAGCGAATCCTTAATTCACAGCACATGGGGATCATGCCATCAAGAAATATATGGTTTTTCTCGTGTCCACAATCTGATAATGTTATTTTGTGGCAAATTATCTTATCAGAGTGCCTCTAAGTAAACCATATTTAATGTTTCAATTTAATGACAAAATTATCCGGTTGGATGGCACATGCTATGCTATGTTCTTACTAGTGATAGATCATTTAAGAGTAATCATAATAATACATTAAAAAGCTATTAGCTCTTTGTGAGCAAAAGTAAATCATCAATTTGTCACCTCATCAAGCTACAACAGAGGGTAGATATATTATTTCTTTAAGCTTTAAGGCAATAGATTTTGTCCAAATGATTTTTTTTTAATTTGTCAAGATTTGAGCTCGAAGTGATTTGCTTTGAGATTTTGGGGCATTTTAGTAAAAGTGCTTTGCTTTAGTTAAGATTCATTGTCAACATGACATAAACAAGGTGCTGCTTGAAAACACTTGAAATTAAGAGTTCGATTTTTTTTTAATGAAATCCTCGGTTATGATATGCAACGACTACATCCATCATAAGAGTATTTGCTTGATTGCATCATTATTTTGAAATATGCTGGGCCTCCATGTTTACATAGGATCAGGCTCAAAGATTAACTTTACGAGCTACTATATAAGCGAAATGACTTTGAAAGTTTGCATTTTGAAATAAATTTTATTCATAAGAGGCTTTGAGGGCCTAATACGAATGTAAAACAAATATCTTTATAAACTTTGTAGTTGTCTGTTCATTCAAGGATTTCTTTAATTACAATAAGAATAGGATTTTAAATGGTTCTTTCATTATGATCTATTTGAAATTCTCAACTTGAACATCCCTTATGGAAGTCTTGTTAACTCCAGAGAATGAAACTAAAAGTATGGGACTTAAACTCTGCCATATTGATAAAGCAACTCACCCAAAGAGCATTGTGTGATGATAACTTTTCTTTTCAAAAGAGAGTTTGCAATATTTTTAAAATGATTGCAAAATCATTTCTAGAGTAGTTACATGTTGCTCAAATCAAGGTAAATTTGAATTTAGTTTATTACCAATTTCACATTTATGTTTACACATTAAACAAGTTTGTCAATGCACATACACTGTTGGTAATTAGATCTATCTTGCATGCATTTTTTAAATGTTTAACAGCTCATGACATGTGACAATGGGTAACTTTGGCTCTATTTGGAAAAGAAAATCCAATTTATGTGAATGTAAAGCCACTTGAAAAGTACTGGGCTACTGAGGCATTCATTATAATACCCAATTTAAAAAAAAAATGTAAGCATGGAATTTTCCCCAAAATTTACCCCATTTTATCATTCCTCCATAAAACACCAAAGCTATTGT